ATCACACTCCCTCATTTCAAAATATGCTACAAAGCTATATAGTAATCAAAACAGCATGGTACTGGCACGAAAACAGACACACAGATCAATGGAACAGAATCGAAAGCCCAGAAATAAACCAACACATTTATGGACAACTAATTTTCGACAAGGGAGCCAAAAACATACAAGGGAGAAAGGAAAATCTCTTCAATAAATAGTGTTGGGAAAACTGGACAGCCACATGCAAAAGAATGAAAGTAGGCCATTATCTTACACCATTCACAAAAATCAACTCAAAATGGATTAAAGACTCGAAGGTAAGACAAGAAACCATTAAACTTCTAGAAGTAAATATAGGCAGTATGCTGTTCACCATATGTCTTAGCAGCATTTTTTCAAATACTGTGTCTGACTGGGCAAGGGAAACAATAGAAAAAATAAGCAAATGAGACTACATCAAACTAAAAAGCTTCTGCACAGCAATGGAAACCATCAACATAGCAAACAGACATAGCAAAAAGACAACCTAAGAATTGGGAGGAGATATTTGCAAACCATGTATCAGATAAGGGGCTAATATCGAAAATATACAAAGAACTCATACATCTCAACAAGAAAAAAGCTAACAACCCAATTAAAAAATGGGCAAAAGATCTGAACAGACATTTCACCAAAGAAGATATATAGATGCCCAACAGGCACATGAAAAGATGTTCAACATCACTAATTATTAGGGAAATGCAAACCAAAACTGCAATGAGATCTCACCTCACTCTCGTCAGAATGGTTATAATTAACAAGATGGGAAACAACAATGTTGGAAAGCATGTGGAGAGAAGGGAACCCTCATACACTGGTGGTGGGAGTGCAAACTGGTACAGCCACTATGGAAAACAGTATGGAGATTCCTCAGAAAATTAAGAATAGAGCTACCATATGATCCAGCTATTCCACTGCTGGGTATTTATCCAAAGAACTTGAAAACACTAATGCATAAACATACATGCACCCCTATGTTCATCACAGCATTATTCACAATAGCCAAGACTTGGAAGCATCCTGGGTGCCCATCAAGGGACGAATGGATAAAGAAGATGTGGCACATATACACAATGGAATACTGCTCAGCCATAAGAAATGATGAAATCTGGCCAGTTGTGACTACGTGGATGGACCTTGAGGGTATTACGCTAAGTAAAATAAGTCAGAGGGAGAAAGTCAAATGCCGTATGATCTCGCTCATAAATAGAAGATAAAAACAACAACAAACAATCAAATAGAGATAGGGATTGGATCAGTGGTTACCAGAGGGGAAGGGAGGAGGGAGGTGGGGAAAAGGGGTGATTAGGTACATGTGTGTGGTGATGGATGGTGCTTAGTCTTTGGGTGGTGAACATGATGTAATCTACACAGAATTCAAAATATATTACGATGTTCACTTGAAATTTATATAATGCTATAAAGCAATTTTACCGCAATAAAACAAAATGAAATACTAAAAATACCCAAAAAAAGGAGGGACTTACTTTTGTCATTTTTCTATTTGTTTTCTGTATGTATTATAGCTTTTTTCCCTCACACTTCCTGCATTACTGTCTTTCTTTTGTGTTTAGTCAATTTTTTTGTAGTGAAATGTTTAAATTCCTTTCTCATTTCTTTTTGTGTATATTCTATAGCTCTTTTCTTGGTGTTTACCATGATTACATTTAACATCCTAAAATTATAGCACTCTAATTTGAATTTGTACCAACTTAACTTCAATAACATGAAAATTCTGCTTTTTCAAGCTCTGTCCCCACCCCTGTCAGTTTTTGATGTTGCAAAATTATGTGTTTATACATCATGTGCCCAAGAACATGAACTAATAATTCTTTTAAATGCATTAATCTCTTAAATTATGTAGAAAACAAGATTTGGAGTCATAAACCACAGTTATGATAATACTAGCTTTTAGACTAGTAAATTTTTTTCTTAATTGTGTTAATCCCTTAATTCATGTTGAAAATAGTACGGTTACAAACCAATGTTACAATAACACCAGCTTTTATAATTACTCATGTATTTAACTGTACTGAGATCTTTATTTCTCCACATAGTTTTGAGTTACTATCTAGTGTCCTCTCATTGCATCTTACAGAACTCCCTTGAGCATTTCGTCTGTGGCAGTCTAGTGGAAATGAAATCCATCAGCTTCTGTTTATCTGGTAGTGTCTTAATTTCTCCCTCACTTTCAAAGGATAGTTTTGCCAGGTATAGGATACTTGGTTGACTTTTTTCTTTTAGCCTTTTGAATATATTGACCCACTGCCTTCTGGCCTCCAAAGTTTCTGATGAGAAATTTGCTTATAATCTTATTGAGGATCCCCTGTGTGTAATGATTTGCTTCTCTCTTGATGACTTCAACTGTCTCTGTGTTCAGCTTTTGAAAGTTGGATTCTAATGTGTCTCATTGTGTGTCTCTTTGAGTTCATCTCCCTTGGAGTTCATTGAGCTTCTTGGATATTTATGTTTGTGGTCTTTCATCAAATTTAGAAAGTTTGCAGCCATTATTTCTTCAAATATTCTTTCTGCTCCTTCCCCATTCTCCTTCTAGAACTCCCACAATGTGTATGTTGGCCTATTGATGCTGTCACATAAGCTCCTTAGGCTCTGTTAGTTTTTCTTCAATCTTTTTCTTTCTGTTCTTCAGACTCAATAATTTCTACTGTCCTCTTTAAATTTGCTGATTCTTTTTTTCTGCCTGCTCGGATCTGTCTTTGAATCCCTCTAGTGAATTTTTCATTTCAGTTATTGTACTTTTCAGCTCCAGAATTTCTTTTTGGTTTCTTTTTAGGTTTTCTATCTGTGTATTGATATTTCCATTTTGTTCATACATCAGTTTCTTGACTTTCTCCACATTTTCCTTTAGTTCTTTGAGCATCTTTAAAACAGTTGTTTTGAAGTCTTTGTCTAGTATATCTGCCATTAGATCCTTTTCAGGGACAGTTTCTGTTGATTTTTTTTTTTTTCTTTGAATGAGGCTTATTTTCCTGTTTCTTTGTATGCCTTGTAATTTTTTTGTTGAAGTCTAGTCTTTGGTTGAAGACCAGATTTGAATTTAATAATGTGGTAACTCTGGAAATCACATTCTCCCCTGTCCACAGGATGTGCTGGGTTTTGCTATTGTTTTCATTTACTTATTTTTATTGTTGTGGGCTGTCTCCATGCTTAGGGTCCCCTTGAACTGTAAACTTAATGTCCTCTCAGGTCTTTCCCTCAACATGACCAGTCACTTTCTAAGTTTCCCCATAAATACAGTTGTTTTTGAATGTCCTTGTCTTAATGTCTGGCTCCCAAAAAAGGAAAAAAGAGAAAAATGAAGCAGGGGCAGGGGGAGGGTGCTGGCCCTTTAAGGCCCCAGGAAAGTGCTTGAGCTAGTGGGGAAGGGGCCCTGTACAATGGGAGGATGTGCGACAGAGGCCTCCTGCCTCTTTGCACCTGTGTGATCAGAAGAAGCAAGCAGTGATCAGAGCACAGATCCCAAACATTTGGAGGACAGGGTCTTTTGGGGCTGCCCTGGCTCCTGCAAGCTGTGTGTGGGCTGCTCCAGGAACATGGGCACAGCTGCCTGACTGACAAGTGGCCATGGGTAGGGGATGGGTGGCTGCTACTGTACTAAGAGCTGAAACTGACCAAAATTAACCACAAGTCTTTCCCTGAACGTGCAAGCTGTTGCTGGAACCTAGAGTTCCAAAATAGTTACATTTGTCACATTCTGCCAGTATAGTTGTTGTCTAAGTGGGGAGATAGAGTCCTGGTGCTTCCTACACTGCCATCTTCCCAGAATCTTCTTTGGATTTTTGGACCAACTCTGAGGTAGGACGTCTTTTACAAATGATGAAACTGAGCCTCAGAGATATTAAGTGCCCAAGCCGGTATTACCTAGCTGGGAAGTGGGAGAGCTGGGATTAGGAGCCCATGTATTCTGATCCTAGAGCACGTATGCTTGACCCTTACTCTAAGTTGTGTCTTAAGGTGCAAGGCGTTCTGAAGAGGCTCCTCTCTTCAGTCTACCGGGTGCAGCCCAAGGTGCCCCTTCCTTCTCAGTCCTCTCAGCCCAAGGCAGAGAAGCACGAGCAACTGGCTTCTCTCCTGTGGCTCTTAAGGAGGCAGGGTGGGGCAGTGCAAAAAGTCCTGTGAACTTAGGAGACACTTAAGTGACCCTGAGTTGCCATTCTCAAGGAGTGTGGCCTGTGCAAATCATGGTTACATCTTTACAGAACAGAGATGAAATTGATTTGTAGGTTTTTATTTCACTGAAATTCTGAATATTTAGTTTTGGAAGTGGAAGTGATTTTGAAAAGAGAACCGGTATTCTCCCCTGGCAGAGCAAAAGAACTGGTGGTCACTACTTTTGTACTGATTGGCAGCAGAGATTCCAGTGAGCCGCCTGTGGACCTGTTAGTGGCCTCACGTCACCTCCACTGCTAGCGCTGCCTCCTATTTAAGATCACAGGTTCTAGAAGCCTTAATGATGCTTTACCCGTATGTCTAGGGTGAATCCAATGCCAAAAAACTTTAAGACAAAAGTTGCCTCTGCCAAGCCCAGCCTTTTTCCTGATTTTAAGTTCTATATGTTAAAGTTAGTGATTTTGGCGCTGTGTCTAGTGGATGTATGGAATGCTTATATATTTACGTTTAGAGTTAATGTAACCTTAAGTCTTGTAGCTCCCAGCTGTTTCAGAATGTAGTAGAGTGTAGCAGGAAGTCCCTAAGCTGTGGAGACTGGGAGTTCTGAGTTCAGATCCTGTGTAGGCATGTGGGCACTTACTTGCATAACATTGAGGTTGTGTTTTTTAATGAGTTTAACTTCCCTATATAGAGTAAAACCTGCTTTATAAGGCAGCTGTGAGGACTGAAATAACATCTGTAAAGCCCACAAGGTATAGTGCTTCAAGAGGCGGTGGCTATTAATACGGTATTTGTTAGAGGCCGAGCTCCATAATCTTTTGTGCATGAAATACAAAGAAAACAAGTAGCACTGGTAACAACACATTTATTTACGTACCCTGTTGTGTGACCGGGAGGGGTTTTCACTTTCCAATGATTGAATTAGGTTATAACAATTAAAATTCCAGAAGGTAAACTAATAATTTATTGATGCTCATGAGCATAAGTAAACAGACATGGTACCACATCAAGGAATTTTACACACTTCTGAACTTCTGCTATGGCTTTGAGATGAACCAGTAGACTTTGGTAATGGACCTAACCGATTACCAATATGCTTCGCAATCCCATGGTTCTCTTCAAAGACACAGGAAGAATCTGGATTTAGCTTCTGCATTTCAGAAATTTAACAAAGATTCTCAGGAAGCTGGAAAAGGCCAACATTACTGACGCCTATCATATTCATCACGAATATAAATGTTTGCTATTAAAAATAAAGTCATGGTAGGTGGCAGTCAACCAATTGCTAGTTTCATTTTGTAGATTACTTTATTATTTCTTGAAAATAACTCAACTCAGGTGGCAGGCCACAGAAGATTGTTATTTTTAAGCAGTTTTAACTTTAATAAGTTAATACCTTTTGTGGACTAAAGGAATTCAGATAGGTCCCAAGTCAAAGAATTGGACAGCGTATCAAATTGGATTTTATATTAGAAACAGCCATTTCCAAGAGACTGCATCATGCAGGACATTTCTTTTCAGAATGCCTTTTATTCCTGGCTTCAAATCTTAACTTACAGCATATGCTGTCTTTAGAGGGTTTGATAAGTGTTAACAAATGGGTACTCATTGCCAGAGCAGGATGTAAGAATGTGCTGATCACCAAGTATGACATTTTACATTACATTAAATTAAAATTATATATTGTTGGAAATAGACAAGATAGGGAGTTCCTAGATCCTAGAAAGTATTATGGCTGAGGAAATAGAGAACTCAGAAAAGGAATCTGCCTCCAAGAAGCTCACTCAGTATAGTAAAATAGAACTAAGTGCCCTGTCTTAGGAAAACGTTTATTAATAAGGAACAACTGGGACATCATACATCGTTTCTTTGGAGATTAAAGTGCAGGCTATGAAATGGCATATAAAATAATCCATAAAATAGTGCAATCTTAAGGTGCCATTATTTTTGTTTATTCCACATAGCCTATGTTCATATGTCCATTTTCTCTCAAAAATCCAGCTGTAGTGACACCTTTTAGCTTATTTATTTAGGCATTACTTGTACTCTGTTTTACCCGCTTTGGGGCTACATAGAATATTTTAACATTTTAACAAGTAGAATAATAGCGTGTACATCTTGAAACTACTAAAGAGAGATTAAGGCAAGCCCCTGTAAAGTTCTGTACTCCAAAAAACACGTTTTACAAAAAACGTTGCTTCCAAAACCAGTGGCTTTAGACCTGATGGCACCCCAAGAGTTTCCAAACAGTATGGTTACTCTGAATACATCTGAGTTTGCCCCATTATTTCCAGGCTCTGTACATCAAGAGAGGAGCTTGAAAAACAACAGGACCTAGATCCTCATGTTCTGAAGTAATTCATATTTATCAAAGCCAAGTCCACGTGGGAGGTAAGCAGAGGATCCTGTGGGGTGAGGGGGGAGCAGTCCTCTTCATTTCTATTTGTCTTTTCACATTTTTATCTGTCTGTAGTGTTGTACCATAATCAATTTATAAGTGGGAGTGACCCATTAAAATAGAGAAGTCTCCTCTGAAAAACAGTCAAGGAAGACGACAAGAATACTTCAGGAAATGTTGCTCTAGGACGACACAATGCTAACAAACAGCATTTACATTACTGACGTATAACCCAGGGCCGGATGGTCCTCTCAGGAGGCTAATGTACAATTTTCCTATAACATGTCAGTTTCAGCTGATCAAAATAATTTGATTTAGCCTTAAATACCATTATGCTATCCAAAAGCAGGTATAACAGCTATCCAATTGGTCAAGGCAATATCCTAACATGTTTTCGCTCGACAGTCTAAGTAATATTTAAGACTGAAAACAAAGTACTGAGCCGTAGTGCTTTATTCTCCTACTGTTATGGAACATTCACGCACTGACAAGTGCCACTCATTAACCCTATGGCTAGGTGCTTACAAGTGTGTACTGCAGAAATGTGGACTTGGAACAGAAAATCTACCTTCTAATAGTGTGAATGCTTATTAGGAAAGCCAAATCCTCATGTTTACTATGGAAGACTATAGATAACATTCAGGGTGTACAGATATAGTTTAAAAAGAAACCCAGGAAACTTTAAATAAGTCATTAACAAATATTAAAGAAATCAGCTGAGGTCATATCCCTTTGATGCATAAGGATCATACTTTGTAAACCTGTAAACATGTACTTTGTTACTTAAAAAATCTTCCTATTACCAGGAAAGCAGACTATTAAAGGCCAAGAGTATTCCAGGAGGCCTCCTCCAAAGGTATGACAATATGGCTAAATCCTACAATTACAAAAATGAGACCTGCTGAGAAAATGAGTTCCAGACGGGGACTTTTATGGAGGACCTTGACTGACAAATGGTTTTTGGAAATTGTTTATTTTAAAATTACCTTCCCGACAAACCATGAAACACTTGGATGTTATTTTATGGTTTTTCACTGAAAACATACTACATTGTAAATGGAGTTTCAAAGTTAGACATAGAATTGATCAAAATCTAAGGACAATCTTATGTAAGGACAATATTAAAAATGGAGAAGAAAAAGTTTCATTTGGTGAGGTCAATCTAAAGGATGCATAACCATGTCATGTTGGACGGATAAAGATGGCAACCTTGTGCTTTTATTCCACTAAGGTACTTACCGAACCCTTAGGTTTATACAGGTGTCAGACTCCCAACTGAAGCCCAAGGCAACAGTTGTTTAAAAGAACTTAACAGTCAAATAACAACTACATAATTTAGTACATTAAAATAATACTAGGACAGTAATAACTGAATGTCTCAAAAATGGACAACTGGGGAAAATAACCACTGTACACAATTTGGAGGTTTGTAAAGTGACCACTTAGAAGGTTGAACAGTGCAAGACATGCTTTTCCAGTTACAAGCTCAAAACAGGAGTGCAAACGAAATTAAAGCTTTTGTTTACAGTTGTAGGGTAAGGAAAGCTTGAAATTAATGTTAAAAAGCTTCCCTCGGGTCATCCCCCAGAAATGAAATGATCAAAATGCTTTTTCATAACACAATTTTTGTCAATGAACCTTCTTTCACTGGTAAAACTGCATCCCACACACTGGGTCCCCTACTCACACCACTGGTAATGACCACATTTGATCAATGAGCACACCCAGTGGTGAGTAAGGAAGAGTACTGGTTACCAGAGGTCTGATATTGATAGAGCCTTGGAATTTGGGGTTCTGCCTTAGCCAGTGTACCTGAACCCTACAGAGAAGAGATAAAGCAATGGGCTTTAATATTCTCTTGTTTCTGTAAAACTGGAGGACAAATGGACTAACAACCTCCCCCCAGAGGCAAGCTGTTGTGGTGGAAGATGTTAAGCACTTAAACTAAGATGCTGCTCTAAAAAGTGAACAAGTAGAGAGGTTCAAGATCAATGCCAGTGCAAGAGCTTTTTAAGTGAGTTGACTAGGCAATGCATGCATCCATCCATGCAATGTAGGACATGGCCCCAAAAGAGAACTGAAAACGTGTATATAACAACTGGATAAGTCCCTTGCCAGTAGTTTATAAAAATATATAGTCAATACTGTAGAGGCCCTTCTCCAGTCAATGCTATGGAAGTCCGTTTAGTTACCCATTACTTCAATACCAAAAAGCATTTACTACTTCTCAGACATTCCAGACAAAGGTCACTTATAACAAAAAGTCAACATTTGTTTTTTAAAACAAGATACTGTCCATTTAAAAAGTAGGTCTTTTCTTTCAAGTGAACAGGACATTTTCTGTATTCAACTTAACTTCTAGTCTGTCAAGACTGATTTAAGATCCTTATATAATGTGCATATATGCAGAGACAAATAAACTTACTTTAAACATTATCTGCACAGAAAAAAAGTTAACTCCTCAAAACATGATAGAACAGGTCTGGTTAGTACAAATCTATTGCAAAGTAAAAAGATTCTGTGCATCAGTTCAACCAGGAGAAGCAGGAAAAGAATGTCCCAACCATGAGAGTTCAAGTTTAAGTTGTGTTCTGAAAGCCTGGAAGCCTACAGGACCCCGTGTTGCTCGTGGCATCCTGATATGCATAACTGCTGAAGCCACTGAGCCGGGCCTTCCTCTGGAGCTAGAGCCACGTTCCAGTCTACTTTCTGTTCCGGAGACGCTTCGATTTCCTCAGAGAGTCTATGGCTTCTGCGGCCTTTTTTCGTTTCCGAGGAGACTCTTCATTCTGCCCAGACCCTGAGGAGTTTCCTACTGCACTTTCCATCACTTCTCGTAGTTTCCGTTCCAGCTCTGCCAACCGTGCGTTCTGTTCCCCTATGATCTGGGTCTGCTCTAGCAGTTTCTGGTCCTGGTCTTGAAGCTGTTTCTGCTGCTCTTGCACTTTGGTGCGAAGCTCAGAAATCTCCCTCCTGAGAACAGTCACTCCAGCACCATTTGTCTTGACCTGCTGCTGGAGCTTGGTAACCTCTTGTCTTGAAGGGTTTTGCTTAGAGAAGAGCTGCATTGTTGTCAGGGCTGCAGAAGGTCCTGGAACTGTGGAGAAATAATTAAAAATGGTCGGTTAAGCACTTACAATGTCTCGCTACCAGTAATACTTCATTATAAAACATTTTTAGGACCTAATAAGAAAATACAAGTAGTAAAATTAGAATATAATTAGTTTCCATCTTATTTCACACAAGCAAACATAAACATTCAAGTTAGAAGTATAGACCTACCATGTTCTTAAGTTCTCTCTGCACTTAGTTATATGCAAAAGCTTCGACTTTAGCAAAACAAGAGGGATGGCAGCAAAAAGTGGATTATATCCACATGATGATCAGGAAGAATTTCTGACATGGTATAGGAAGGCTTTGGAACTATTTTGTTTTAGGAATAACAGAATGTAACATGGGCATAAGAATCACTATTTTTTTATAACCCTTCTCTCCTGCAGGTCTTCCAAAAGGGCCAGCTGGGTCAGTTCATCCTCTAAACCCATCATGCTCATTTTCTCCTTGTGCCTCCAAATAACCAGAATTTTTCCGTGACTGATGCATTCTTCCTTCTCTCTCTGCTTATTTTTATCCAGCTTCCACTAACACATCAAAGCTCAGAATAATTCTTAGCTCTTGTGAAGTTTCAGTCAGACCAGCCCACAATGATCTGACCTTCCTTAAGAAGATCTGTCTCTGCTACTCATTTGGCATTTAGGACACACCTTTAAAATATTTCTCTGCCCACGATAGTTCACCTTTGAGGCTGGATGTGTCCCGCCTTTTGAATAGTCAGACCCTTGAGAGCAGACAGCACGTATTACGCTTCTTTTCAGTCTCCACAGGCCACAGAACAGTGCTGTGCGCATAACAGGTACTCAATGACAGAAATAAATGCTGAGATACTGCAGGCTTTATTATTACATTAGAGAGCCGCTCAGAGACCCCACTGACTACTCCAGGGAGCTAAGTAAGTCGAACAAAACAAAACGTTTCACTAAAGTTTATTTCCTGATTTAACATATTTGCAAGGGGTGAAGACACTGAACAAGTTAGGCTTTCGGTAGAGAAGGGCACAAATCTCTAGGACCCAATATACTTTTGCAAAACAGCTACCACAAGAGAACGGACAGTGTTCAAAATAGCCTTACGCACCCTGTCTTTTAAAGTAGCAGCCAGAAGCTCTGGGGCTGAAATAATTAACTGGATATTTCTTTGAAGAATTTCTGGGGTTTTATCTGGTATGTTTAATTCTGCTTTAGCATAATGAATATTAACTAGTCAGAAACATAAGAAACACATATATACGTAGCTTTTCACCTAGCAATTGAACTCTGATAATTCACTCTAAGTCAACAGTTGTGGATATGTGCACAGATCTAGCCACAAGTGTGTTCTTCAGCATGCAGTTTAAATAACGGAAAACCAGAGACAAATGTACTTAAGAGTAGTGGATCAGTTATGTAGGTTATGGTCTATGATCCAAGTTGTCATTAAAAACGATGTTGCAGATACATATTTACAGACAGAGAAAAGTTAAGACAGACAGTTAAGTGGGGAAAAAGCCAGTTACGAAACGACGGAGGAAGGTTATTAGAAAACGACCATGTCATTAACAAACGAGAGCTACCTGGAGGGGAGCCCATGAGTCTCCCAGACACATCTGATCCCGGCAACTTCCTCTTCAGAATCGGAACGATCTTCTCATCAAAGTACTCCATGGCCATGGAGGAAATGTCCCTCAACTCCTGAAGGACTTCGTGAGCTCGCTGAGGGGCTCTGGTAGAATTGACATATCTCAACACACGATAAATCTCATCGATCACCTAAAAAAATGAGCTCTCATTACCACTTTTGATTTTTTCCCCAAAGAAAATAGTTAAATAGGGAGAGAAGTGATGCTTGTTTTGTAAGTCCTGTAAAGACCCACAGGGCCATTTAACTGATGTACTGGCCATTGATAACATTACCATCTGTAACTCACGGCTTTAAGGGGCTTGTTATAATACTTTATATTTCATACCATTTAAGCATCTTTTCTGTATCAGGTACTGTGCTGAGCCTAAGAATCAGGATGAATAAAATATAGCTCCTGCCCTGAAGAAAATCACAGTATAATTGGGGAGACAGATGTGTAAATAAGCGACACAAAGAGGGATATATAAAGAAACAAGAGGACTATACTAAGAAATTAAATCCTGGGTGTGAGCAGGGGCAGAGGTAGGGCATGAGCCACAGCCACAGTCTTCCGGCCTCCAAACCCACTCCACGCTAGCCTGAATCTGCCTGCCACAGCCCGGGGACTCAGCCTGATCGCCTGCTCTCTTTCACACGCCACCACGGGCTCTGTCCCTTGAAGTTTTCTTTCGCAAAAACTTGCTATGGATTGCAATGAGGTCTCCTCAGATCCCGCTTTCTTGCTATCACCAAAGGGTAGCAAGAGATCCTTTTTCATTTTAATGATAACTGCAATGGGGAAACGCAAGGCATAGCACACGTAAAGAAGAAACGAAGTTCTGACAATTAGGAAGAGCTCCTAATTCCCCTGCTAGAACGGTAACTGAACCTTCCTTAGGCCTTTCTGCCCTCAGCTTTCGTCCCTGTGATGTGATCCTTAATACTGCCCATGGCTTCAGCATAGACCTCAAGATGCTAATTCACATCTCTGAAGGTCTGGATGACATCTATTCCAAAGGGTCTGTACCCTCACAAGAATTGCGGGTTAATCAACCAAACCGTTGTGTCACCAAAATGTCTCAAGTCACCTTGAATCCCATTCACTCCTCCGACTGCATTATCTAGCCAGTACCCGTCTCTGGAACAGCCCTGGAATCTACCTTCTCTTCTCCTTCACTCAGGCTGCTGAGTACTACTAGAGAAACACACAATCTTGCAGGATGGCACCAGGACAAGTGACAGTCCTTAACAGTTTCCAGATGCTCAGTGCAATGAGATGATCTTTCTCAGTCCAGCATCACGTGTGCCTAATGAATGTCAGCAAAATTAATAGTCAGGATGTGTCCCAATCGTGAATCCCAGAAGACTTCACTGCAGAGGCCACATCTGTGAGCCTGGAGCTGTGAACAGGAATTGGCTTGGGCTGAGGTGGTGTACATGGAGGCAAATGTAACGGGAGATGAGTTATGCTGGTCTTGAATTCCATGGGACATGCAGGTGATACCAGCCAGCAGGCAGCAGGAGATACAAGGTAGGAGTTCAGGAGAGAAAGTGCAGATGACGGGGAGGCCTCAGTAGCCAATGGCCTAAGAGGGCCAAGTGAGAAGATGCAGAATAAGACAGTCAAAGGCAGAATCCCAAGGAGCTAATGGTTAGTGATACATTTATTTTTGGCATTACTACTAGATTATGAACTCATTTTAGAAGAAGATAACATTTTTTCAATAATAACTTACTGAACTACCCTGTTAGGAACAATTACACATATTTAAAAAAAAAAAAGAAATGAAAAAGAGTACCTTCCCTTCGGCTTACAATTTAATTATGTGAGCATATCCTAACATGTAGGATAAACATTATCCAAGTATTTATTGAGTTCTTACTATGTACGTGTCCTTTTTCAAAGCACTGGGGTAAAAATAGTGAACTGGCTGACAAGATTCTTATTCTCATAAAGCTAAAGTAAACAAATAATAAAATAATTTAAAATAGTGCCACGAGGGAAAAAGAGGAAACTGCAATAGTTACTAGTGGAGAAAGAGGGAATAGCATGAGACAGGTGGTCAGGAAAAGCTTCTCTGACATAATTAAGGTAACAGTGAGAGATGAGGAGGAACTAGTCACTTGATGATCTGGGGAGAAGAGCGTTTTGGGCAGGAATAATAATGGCAATGGCTCCAAGGTCAGAGTCAGCTTGGCCTGTTTAAGGAGTTCGATAGCTAGAAATATGCTATCTATATCTATTTATGGAAGCTCAAAGCTTTGAAAGATTTAATATTTATACACAATTAAGAACTGATTAATAAAAATAAAAGCCGAAGTAGGAATACAGTATTTTTCTTCTAAAGGTCCTTTAGAGCCAGCCCTGATGGCCCAGTGGTTAAAGTTTGGCGCATTCCACTTTGGTGGCCTGGGTTCGGTTCCTAGTCACAGAAACATACCAGCTGTCTGTCAGTAGCCATGCTGTGGTGGTATCTCACATAGAAGAACCAGAAGTACTTACAACTAGGATATACAACTATGTACTGGGGCTTTGGGGAGGAAAAAAAAAGAGCCAGCCCTGATGGCCTAGTGGTTAAAGTTCAGCGCTCACTGCTTCAGTGACCCAGGTTTGCTGTCTGTCAGTTGCTACGCTATGGCAGCCGCTCACATAGAAAAACAGAATGACTTACAACTAGCATATACAACCATGTACTGAGGGCTTGGGGAACCGAAAAAAAAAAGAGGAAGATTGGCAACAGATGCTAGCTAAGGGTGAATCTTTCCCAACAAAAAATAAATAAATAAAGGTCCTTCATACTGACTGAGATGCTATGTACTAATGCTAGGATATTAACTGATCCATAGTTTTGTGTTTATCAAAGTTTTATATGTACATTATAAATAAGAAAAGCACTGCAACGCTCCAGTATTACTTTACGTTGTCCTCAAAGCTAGTATGTTGCATCTCTGGATATAAAATAACCATTAGTTCTTTGATTTAAATCAAGCCCTCTCTCCCTTTTTTGTCCCAGGGCTTTTGCACATTATGATCCTTTTTCTGGAATGTTCTCCCTGCATATCTCCCCCACCTTCTCCAACCCCAAATTCCTTACTCATGCTTGAGGTCTCAGTAACATTTCATTTTCTCAGAGTAGTCTTTTCTGATCCCTCTTCCAGTTTAAATTATGTTAATATCTCCATTGAATCCTTCATTTTCCCTTCAGAATACACATTACAAATTGCAAGTGTATCTTTCTGTTAATTTCTGTCTTCCCCATAATATAGTAAGCTCAATGAGAGAAGAGATCATAGCTAGTTTCACTGGCAGATCCCCAAGCCTAGCAGTGTCTGGCACATGGCAGATACTCAATAAATGTCTGTTAAATGAATGATAAGGATGGTCAAATGTTATATTGACATATCTAAATAAAACTGTTTAGGGGCAAGCCACAGGATTAAATTCAATACAAGATATGATTTTTATTGGCCAGATTTTGTTTTGAACATAAAAGTCACAGTTAACAGAATTTCTATTGAAAGGGATTTTTAAAAATATATAATACTTGAGAGAGTACTTATATGCTTAATGTAATATCCACAGCTTTATTAATGGATCTATTTATATTATGTTTGTGTTCATAAATACTGGTAGACAGAAGATTATTTACAGTATGTTTGAGCTGGACTAGAAATGACTGCTGTAATGATTCAAGCATGAATAAGACAGAGATCTTATCCAATGCAAGATGACTCAGTGAAAGACCCACAAACAGAAAAGCATAGCTCAAATGGTAATATGTTCAATGTATAAGCAAAGTGCTGTGAGGAAAAAAGGAAAGTAGAGAGAAAAGCTCTGTTTGAGAGAATCAGGGAGACCTAAGGAAGGACTTGGCAATGAGAAATAAGTAGAATTTCAAAGGGTAAGGAAAGATGGAGCAGGAGGAGGGCACCTGGCTAAAGAAAGAGTGGAGCTCAGTGGATGGATGATGTGGATGGACAGGCGACAGCGTAGAAAATCAGCATGTATGTAGTACAATTACCTACCATGAATTTATTCTAGGACTTTAAAAAAGCATAAATTATGCAGTTAATCCTCTTCCATAACCCTTATTCTTCAGAATGAATCTCCTACCAAAATATCCCACAGAGATTACTAATTGATATTAAATTACATCCATCAGCTAATTGTGAAATATTCTTTACTGTATTTAGTCTTATAAATATAGTGTGAAAGAGAGCATCTCTTTCCAATTGCTCTAGTCTTCCATTAGGGAAAGCAACATTTTCACATCTCGCTATATAAAGATTAGTCATGTGGGATAATCCATGTTTTCAATAAAATTAAAATCTTCTCCCTCCTCTGTCCAAAAGTTATAAGCAAAGGACAAGATGAAGAAAAGGACACAGCATGTTAGAACCATATTGCTTCTACCATTCAATCAGTGGCTGCAGTGGCTTTCGAGGCACATAGTAAGAAAGCAGAGTATTTACTCAATTTTCAAAATATTTCATATTCTGAGTAGGTTTAATCACTTTCTGAAAACTCCTTTAGCAGCAAGAATGTAATGGTATGAGTCTGGAGTCCAGTGGGAAGATCAGAGGCCTCAGGCTGGTCGCTTTTAATGGCTGTTTGTACACCTTGCAAATAATATGACACACACTGAATCCTACCCAGGCTTGAGATAATAAAATAATAGTTATGAAAAATATTTTTAAGTTTTAAAAAAGTACGGTACAAACCAAATGTGCGCAACTATCCCATTTCTAACATATGGAGTTCACTCTAAAGAGAATTTCTATCTTGTTTAACTTACTGTTTAGCAAATAAAGCTCCTATTAGAATACTGAACCTAATATGTTCTCATTTTCCTTCTTTGTCTTTTTGTTATACGTGAGATTTCCTTAACTTTCCCTTCTACCTCTTTTGTTTAATTTAAAAATTAAGGGATATTCCTCAAAATAACTGACCTATGCTCTTCAAAAATGTGAAGATCAAGAAATACAAAGAAAGCATATGGAACTATTCCACATTAAAGAAGATTAAGAAGTCCATGCACGATCCTGGATTGGATTCTGGACTAGTTAGGAAGAGTAAATTATTGGGATAAGCGATGAAATCTGAATATGGATTGTCGATTAGTTAAGTGCATTGTGTCAATGTTAAACTTCCTGATTTTGATATCTGTATTAAGAGGCTGTCCCAGTTCTTAGGGAATACACTGAAATATTTAAGAATATAGGGTTATAATATCTCCAACTTATTTTCAAATGGTTCAGAAAAAATAAAATGCATATACAGAGCATAAAAGCAAACAGCACAAAAGGTAAATAATTGCTGAATCAGGATAAAAGACATATGGGAGTTCCTTGTACTATTCTTGCAATTTTTGTGTACATATGAAATTGTATCAAGACAAGTTAACAAAAAAAGAAAAAAAGGAATTAAAAAGTGCACCACCACCAGTTTTTTCCCCTCAAAACATTAAAAACAAACCGACACCACCTTATATGTAGATTCTAAGTTTGTTCAGAGCAATCTAGCTTCATGACCTTGCATAATCATTTACCCCGTGAATACCACGATTTTGGGGAGCCACTGTGTTTCAATAAGCACAAAAGGGTGAGCAGGGTCCCTAGCAACAATCAAGAGCAGGGACTGTCTATGTCTTTTTCCGTTATTCTAGCTCCCAGGATGGCTGGTTGGCCTCTGCTAACATGTGTGCTTCGGTATGTGTGAATTGCTGATACTGACCATGAACTTACTGTAAAAAGTTTGACTTCTATACGTCCTAAGATTTGAGAAATGTACATAGGAGTAAGCTAACAATCTATAACCTCTTAGTTCTCAGAGAAGACGAACGGAATATCACTGTAGTGGTCAGGGTGGGCAACTACGGCCCTATTTGACCTGCGCCTGTTTTTGTAAAAAAAGGTTTTATTGGAACACAAGCGCACCATTCATTTACCACATGTTGTCCATAGCTGCTTCTCAGAGTTGAGCAGTTCTGACAGAGCCCACGCAGCCTGCAATGCCAAAAATAGTTACTATTTGGCTCTTTACAGAAAAAGTCTGCTGATTCCTGCCATAGATAATAGTGCAAACTCCCAACCAGTCTGAATTCTGTAGACAGCTTTGCTTTGAATGCCCTTGTTGTCACTGTGGTCTCCCTGTCAAGAGACCTTTCAAACCCCTCCAGTGAATCAGACCTAGGTTTGCGCTGAGTAGGAGGGCAATGACTTAGCTTGTCTGCAGTTGGAGAGGGGACCTGTAGGTTTAAATCAGTCTTAAATATAGACTCTCAACCAACCCTCCTGTCTGAGCACCACTTTCAGAGGTGCTTGGAGCTTTCTGAGGTTCAGCTGTACAGACTGGGAGCCTCTCAGCTTTCCCCACTGCCATTTACGATTGAACTGTCTCAGTTCTGCTAACTCAGTTACCACACGTTCATCTCCTTTCCAGCTTCCAAAATTATGTTACTGCCACCTCCTCTCCTGACTCATTCTCAGGGGTCTTGTTTTCCTTTTTAAAATTAGCACATTTACTGTATGAGTGAAATTTTGGGAAGAATCAGAGGTAAACACGTATTCAATTTGCCATCGTTAACCTACCATTTAATTTTAAGAGTAAATGTGATTGCCCTTTCAGAAAATAATTTAAAAAATTCTTTTTCCAACTATTAATTAAAAGGCCCCAAATTTTGGTACATACCAGGCAATCTAATTTAAACTACAATAATGATACTACCAAGATTCACTTAAGTAATTTGTGAAAAGTAATTTATGATATGAAATGCTTACTGTAGATCTGAATTTTAACAAAATGGATAAATTCTATAGAAAACCACAAAAAGGAGTTCACTTAGAAAATATAAAAGCTCCTGAACTTTTATTTTAAGCATAACCCAGGAGCAATACCTTGGGGAAAACAAGAATAACCTACCATAGAAATCATATACCAAATCAAGATTATATGTTAAAACAAAAGAAAATTATTTTCTCGAATGTCCTCACTTACGCACGTGTAAAATTAAATGCCACGTCCTTATGTTCTAAAGGTAGAATGTGAAAAGTTCAAGGAGAAGTACAAAAAGTGAATGATCATAGAACAACCCAAATACTGCAAACTGTGTTAAGTTAGCAGTTCAGTTTTAGTTTAAGTAAACTAAAAAGTATCAGCTACATAAACACAAAAAGTAATATTCTGAGTATACACAGTGTTTTTAGGCAAAATATAAGCTATAAAGATGGCATTTTTAAGAAACAAAATAATCCAAACTGAATTAAGTGTGATAATAAAAACAAAAATTATTTCTGTTTTTTTAGGCTTGTTTTTCCAGTCAAGTTCAGGTATGCAGGAGAAAAAGAACTTAGGATAAGTTCTTGTGAAGAACTGGGGACTATTAAAGAAAAATGGAAGAAAACAGCAAAGAACACAGTTGAGAAATCAGAGCACTCGAGCAGAGCTTTCGCCCAGTCACTTCAGTTCCCTAGGCCCCAGTTTTCCTGTCAGTGAAACAGGAACGGTAATACTTGTTCTGTTTGCCTCACATGCTGAGATGGCAAGTAAATGAGAGAGTGTACATGAAGTGCTCTGGGAATTAGAAAGTAGTTCATAAATATAAGCTGAGAGCAGTGACAAGAGAAAGGGATAGGGAGACATCTATATTATAAAGTAAAGGTAGGTACAATATTCCGTTCCACTGCACTTCTATTGCGGGCAAGGTAAAGGCTCAGTTAAGGAGCCATCCAGAACAAATGCCCAAGGGGACCTAGTGCATTTTGAAAATGGAAGACATTCTCCATTACTGCCACCTTGGTTTTATTCTTTTATTTTGGTATTAGAAATTAAAGTGAAAAGCCAACAAGTGGTTTCAAAAAAAAAAAGAAAACAAGACTCAGATGGATCTGACCTCAATTCTTTAGACAGTAAATATCATCATTCCAACCACATGATCCTGAGCCACTGGAACAAAGGCTGGCAACTTCTGCAAAGGCCAGACGCTAAATGTCTTAGGCTTTGCAGGCCATGTGGACTGCTGCAAACTACTCAAGTCTCATTAGTAACGACTGACTGAACTGTCTCTGGGGTTATGAAAACTGTAAGATGTTTCTTAAATATTCACATTCTTAACAACAAGATATGCACTAAAAACTACAGGGCTATAGGGGGCAATTGACATTAGTTCAATGAACTTTCCAGGAAAACTTAAATGTTAAGGCCTATAAATCAGACCTGGATAAAATCTGGCATAAGAATCAGAATCTGAAGTTTCTAACTGGTCACTCTTTTACAGTAAGTACCCTACGAAAGCACTGGTGGCTAGTATCAGGAAAGTGAGATATACCAAAGAATATTTCAAATAAAATAAGACACAGGAGTCTTCCCCAAAACAAACATCATAGAAAACTGAAAATGGAGAAAGTACATACAAAATAATGCCAATGCTAATTATCTATGGAAACAATAAAAAGAGAACGTTCAAATTTTAGTAGTTATTAATTCGTTTCGTGTTAAGGGAAGCTTTTGCTAGTATCAACTAGGCAGCAAAATGTTAATTCCATTTCTGCCCCTTCCATATAAAGAGATACAGACATGTATCATCTGAATTTACGAATTCAAGAAGCAAGATACTCCTGAAGGTTTGAGAGCATGCTAAATGCTGGGGTCTATTAATTTAGTAACAGTAAATATGCCATAATACCCTTATTTCTAACTAGCACTATGGCGTAGCTCTGAGGACACTGCTATACAGTAATTATTGATTCTGTCAAATCTGGAAGTTTCTAAGTTGTCTTCATGAAACGTTTCTCAACAAGACAAAAACCAGCTTGTCCCTCCTCCTCCACGTCCCCCAAATTATAACAATCCTGAAGGCGGGGACAATACCTATCTTGTTCACTGCTGTACGTCTGGCATCTTAACCAAGAGTAAAAGCTGAGAATTTTTTCCTCAGTATGAACTCTTAACAAGCTTGCCTAGAGAACAGTAGAACTTCCACTGCATAGTTCATAATTAGAACTTAAAATATAAAGATCACATAAATGATACATATTTATATTAGTTACTGTAAAGAAGCTATACAAATCCACCCACAGAAACTCATTTCAGAGGAGTAGGAACAATTCTGACATTAAAAAAAGGTTTACATAGTACAATCCAGCTGTTCTAGGTAAGCAATTCTATTTTACCTTTCCTGGGATGAAGCAACAGAGATTGGAATCCACATACTTCATGAAAGTCATATTTAATAGTGATAGCCTTGTTTCAACAGCAGCAAGGATGTCTGCATGGCGAGCTAATGAATGGTTTCTCCTTTCCGACTCTCTCCTGTGATTAAACAAAAAGTAACCATTAAAGAGCCACCACAGACTAAAATGTCACCCAGTCAAAATGCCTTGAGAGAACAGTCTAACAATTACATGTTAAATTTAGAAATCTACAACTGGGTCATAATTTAACTGTAATGATAAATTAATCACTATATCCAGAAATCCTTGCCAAAGACTAATACAAATATTAGTCTTCTGTTTTGACTATCAAGCCTAATGGCTATCTGAATCAGAGATAAATGAAAGAATTACACATGGATATATAGACAAGAGACTATGTTTTTGCCCATAAAATCAGCTTATAAACTTTTTAAACAGTTTTATTGAGAAATAATTCACATAATAAAATTCATTTTTAAAGCACACAATTTAGTGGTTTTTGGTATATTCACACTTGTGTATCCATCCCCACTACCTAATTTCATCACATTTTCATTACCACAAAAAGAAAGCCTGTTACAACTATCAGTCATTCCATTCCCCAGCCCCTGGCAACCACTAATCTACTTTACGTTTCTACGGATGTTCCTATCCTGGACCTTTCAAGGAACTAGAATTGCACGTTATGTGGCGTTCTGTGTTATCTTTCACTTAGCACAGTCTTCAAGGCTCACCCATGTTGTAGCCTGTATCAATACTTCATTCCTTTTTACTACACAATATTCTATTATATGGACATTCCATCATCCTGATTATCCATTCATCAGCTGATGGACTTCGGGGTTGCTTCCACTTTTTGGCTATCATGAAAAATGCTGCTATGAACATTCATGTACAAGTTTTTGTGTGGATATATTTTCATTTCTCTTGGGTGTATACCTAGGAGTGAAACTGCTGGGTCATCACATGACTCTATGTTTAACTTTTTGAGGAACAAACTGTTTTCTAAATTGGCTGCTCTGTTTTATAATCCCACCAGTAATTTATGAAGGTTCCAATTTGTCCACATCCTTCCCAATATTTTTTGTCTTTTTTGTTTCAGCCATCTTAGTGGGTAGAAAGTGGTATCACATAGTGTTTTGATTTTCAATGCTCTGACAACTAATGATGTTGATTGAGCATCTTTCATGTGCTTGTTGGCCTTTAGTATATCTTCTTTGGAGAAACGTCTATTAAAATCCTTTACCTACTTTTAAATTGGGTTATTTCTTTTTATTGTTGTGTTCTAAGAGGTCCTCATACAATCTGGATACAAGTCCTTTATTAGATATATGAACTGCAAATATTTTCTCCCATTCTGTGGGTTGTATTTTCACTTTCTTGATGTTATCCTTTGAGGCACAGAAGTTTTAAATTTTGATGAAGTCTAGTTTGCCTACTTTTTTCTTTTGTTATTTGTGCTTTTGGTGTCATACCTCAGAAACCACTGCCTGATCCACATTCATGAAGATTAGTGCTATGTTTTTGTCTAAGGGTTTTATAGTATAGCAGTGACATTTACACTTAGGTCTATGATCTATTTTGAGCTAATTTTGTATTGGTGTGAGGAAGGAGTCCAACTTCATTCTTTTGCATACTCAGCTGTTCTAGCATCACTTTTTGAAAACATTATTCTTTCTCCACTAAATTGTCTTGGCAGCCTTGAAAATCAATTGACTAAAAATGTAAGAGTTAATTTTCTGGACTCTCAATTCTATTCCATCGATCCCTATGTCTGTCCTTAAGTCAGTACCACACTATTTTGATTACTGTAGCTTTGTACTAAGTTTTGAAATTGGGAAGTGGTAGTCCTCCACCAACTTTGTTCTTTGTTTTCAAGACTGCTTTGATTATTCTGAGTCTTGTATTTCCATAGGCATTATAGGATCAGCCTATCAATCTCTGCAAAGAAAACCACTAAGATTTTGGTATGGACCGCAGTGACAGTACAGATCAATTTGGGGAGTACCATCATCTTAACAATACGAAGTCTTCCAACCTGTGAACACAGAATGTCTTTCCATTTAAGTCTTTTTAAATTATTTTTAACAATGTCTTGTAGTTTTCAGCGTACAAGTCTCACACTCCTTTTGTTAAGTATTTTATAATCTTTTAGATGCTATTGTAAATGAAGTTGTCTTTTTTAGTTTTGGATTGTTTATTGTTAGTGTATACAATTGGTTTTTATATATTGATCTTGTGTCCTGTATCCCTGCTGAACTTGTTTAGTAGCTCTAATAATTAGTGTAGTCTTTACATACAAGATCATGTCATCTGTGGATAAAGAGAGTTTTACTTTTTCCTTTCCAATCTGGATGCCTTTTATTTCATTTTCTTGTCTAACTGCCCTGGCTAGAACCTCCAGTAAAATGTTGAACAGAAACGGGGAGAGTGGACAAACCATAGTAAAAATCACTTACTGTCATCTGTGTACCCTTTGCTACAAAAACTTGGAAACCACTTAACATGTAAACTGTCAATGAGATTTCTTTAAAGAAATCAAGAAACAAACAAGCGAAACCAAAACCCCCAACTGTAAATTATTGCCACTGCTAGCCATAACATACCTTGGGAGTTGTGCTTTAACTTGTTTCTGACATAGATTATGGTACCTCTCTACTTTGAGAAATCCCTGATTCAACATTCTCTGGCACACCAAATCCATTCTTTTACAAACCTATGGGGAGAGAGGAAGAGAAAGAAGAATTTTAAAAAGCAATAACCAAATTAATAAAAGACAATTAACTTAGACTCGTAACTGATGGCTGACAGTTCTCTGTGCTGGTACCATTCCTCTGTTTGCCATCGAATCTCTGAATCAGTATATATGTGGATGAATCCCTCATACTTTGTAACTCTTGCACTATCACATTAAGAAATTAATATGTGTAGGCGAGCAATAATTTACTACTTTACTTCAAGCATTTGTTTAATGTTCTGAATGCATCCCCACTATTATGGTCAGAAACTGTAGCACTAAAGATAAGTAAGACAACATACTCAAAGGTTTTAACGATTTGGAATAAAGAAATTCTCCTTTAGCCAAAAATGTATACTCAAACTTAACTTCAACCTCCCACAAAGTTTATATGATCTATAACCAGAATGAGAATGCTAATTTATTTCCACTAGTGATTAGCGTTAACTATAGAAAGTTAGTCTACACTACTGTCATATCCTCCAAAATATCTTAACATATGCAGCAGAACTCAACTATTCTGAATCCTTAAGGAAAATGGTGTTTTTATACAGGGAAAGTACAGGATCAAAAGTCAGAACACCTAAATTTGAGTCTAACCTTTATGCATCCTTGAGCAAGTCAGCTACCATTTGAAAGCCTGAGCCAGCCGTCTGTAAACTGTGGATAGTATCTAACTCAGAGGAATTTCGTTAGGATTAAATGAAACAATACATGCTAAATCCCTTGGTAAAAATTATGTTGAATAAATTTTGTTTAACTTAGTACCAACTCGAAAACTTTGCTCTATATACTTAGTTCTATTTCTGAGATATCCCAGCATCTTTCTTACCTTAATGGAATCTAGTGCACAAAATCTGTTTGTTCTTTGATCCCTGAGATTTTGCAGTGACTCAGAATCATCAACCTGAAAATCCACCTGAACCAGCTAATTCTCACCATATAGGTGTGGATGCTGAAAGGCAAAACACTGAGATAACTCTGTATGGAGGCCCCATCAATCAGGCAGCAGCTGTCTTGTGCCTCGACCTCTCGTGGCAAGCATCCAAGCACAAATGCTTGTCAAATACTTGTTGAAATGAAATCTTGATGAAACCCTTGATATAAGTTTGCTTTATCCTGAGAATATACGGACAAAAATTCTGGCAAACTAGGTTGAAGCTTATGAAGGCTTAAATAGTCTAATATTAAATACTAGATCCTTCCTAAATCACAGCATGCCAAATGAAAGGTATTAAGGAAAACAGTTGTTTTCAATTTCAAAATAAATTAAAACAACAAATTTTAAATACTGATACTAAGAGTAATTCCTAATAAATGATATTTTAAAATATAGGAGAATCTATTTCTAACTAAACTAAATCAGTTAACATTTGTTCAGCATATACTGAAAAAATAACCAGTAAAACTAATACATTTTAACATAACTTTTTAAGAAAAAGTAACTTCTCTAAAACAAAATATTTAGTGAGTTACATTTTTACAAATCTCTTTGATTTGTAGTTTAATAGAACAGAAGTGAATCCTCATATATGCTGCTGCACTCAATCTACTGAGGTATTCTTTCCTTAGAAAATTCTAGAAAACACAAGTCACAAGCACATATTTCATCAGCTATCAGTATGACATCCATCACGTGTCACATAGCGACTGGAAAGCTCCACTACATACTTGTTAAAAATGGAAATAACATTTTAGTGCTATAATAAAAATATTTCAGCTCTTACAGACTCCCTGAAAGGGTCTTGGGAACCCCTCTGGGATCCCTGGATCACACTTTGAGAACCAGTACCCCAATTCTGAATAATCACATTGTCACAAACGCCAGTACTGAACTTTATGTGAGGAAAAAAGAAGCTTTTATTGTGTTATTGGAGGAAGAAAAGAAGTGGGCGTCTATCTGTATGTGTGATGAGGGCGATCAGAGCAGACTCAAGTTTCATCTTTCGTAATACAAAGCAAACAGATGACATCAAAGAAAAGAAAAGCTGCTCAAAGACTTGAAAGTGGTACCTTTGGAGAACAAAATTAGGGGTTGTAAAAACGATTTTTTGTTGTTAAAACTATTTGATGTGACGGACAATCTTGTAGAAAAACACTTCTTGTCTTTGTGGACTCTAAAACCTCTACGATAACTTCTGTGATGAAATATTGGAAATAATATTTTAGCAGCAATAAATTTCAAAGAAAAAATTAAGGTCAGTTATTACTGTAATAGTTTCTAAGGTACTGTCTAAGTTATTTTATTATACACGAATTTTGCTGCACTGAATCTAGTTAACTCCCAGGAATCAGCTGTCTTTTAATAATCTAGAAACTCAGTGGAATATTTGAGTGCTGACTATTATGAGGATCTGAGTGCTGACTGGGTGACGAGAAGACAAATTAATAACCATTAAGGTCAACCAGGGAAGACTTCAGATGATACAAGATTTGAATTAGGCTTCGAAGGAAGAGAGGGCAAGGCCTGCTAAGTCAGAGGTGGTGGCATATGCAGAGGCACAAAATGTGGAATGAATAAGCCATGAGCAAGCAAACTACTTCTGAAGTTAGATCTGATGTGTAGGCAAAGTTGGGAGAAATAAAATCTCCCACATTTTGAGCAGGGAAATCAGATAGGATTGAGAAATAACTTTAAAAAGACCACCCGGTTTCTGAAAGATCTAGTATTGGGACAGTTAACTCATCAATTTCTGTAAGCAACTATAATATTAGCGCTAAAGTTACGGTTCTGGAAATCTCATGTGTGGATAGCTGAAATCACTGTAGATGAACCCCCAAAGGAAGAAGTGTGAGGTAAGAAAATAAAGGCTTAAAAACAGAGGCTCAGCTGACATTTAAGTTAAAAGCTGGTAAAAAGACCAGAAAATAAGAGGTCAGAAAGACAGACAAATTAGAACAGCACCACAAAAGCCAAAGTCAAAAATATTTTAAGCGCTAGTCAATATTGTAAGAAGAGAGCAGTATTTAATGTGGTACTCTTCCTTTCACGTTCAGTAAGCACTGATGGACCGATAGCACAAAAACACAGACACGAGAGATCCTCTATCTTTTGCTCAGGACTCAGAAAGAAGCAAAGTGACCTCTGGAAAACAGAAACACTGATTTTCCCAAAGGTAAGCAGTTTAACGATAACTGCAGACAATGGATGCTAACTTGCAACGCAAAATTATCTCATTTAAAGTCTAGCTCTATATTTATGGGTATTTTAATAATTTCCCAAGGCTAAAGGAAAATTTTTTTATTTCCCTATTACAACTAAACAAAAATCCTAGTAATTTGGCAATTTACCCAAGACAGTAGAATAAAATTCTGGAATCTAAGAGACAAAGATGATGACTATGTCAAAAACCATCAGTGCATTTAGAAATTAGCAAAAATACACTATAAAAACAAAAGAGAACTAATGGAATAAATCAGTCTAGAATGAAGAAATTTAGCTTGGGCCCCACTGTTACCTGCTGTGCTAGTGTGAGAGAACAGATGCGGTTTTTCTTTGTTAATTACTTAAGGATTTAAAAATGCCATGTTTATCTTTTTCATCATTTCCAACGTAAGTGGTCAGTAACAAAAAATTCTCTTCACTTGTGTTTCTTTAGACATCTTTTTCGAATTCTTGTGCCACCATGGCCCTTCTTAACAATGAAGACACATATGCCATACATTTGTGAAACTCACAATTTTCCTATTAAACTTAATCTTTAATATCAAATCTTAGTTGATTCTAAGATACACATTTTTTCATATTTTAATATTTGATGTTGGAATAGTTTTACAATGTATGATGCCCTACAATTATAATTGAAGCATTTCTTTCTTAGATGTCTTAGATGTCTTGTATGCTAGACTTCTTGGTTTTATTCAAGATGCCATAGAAACTATAAGACATGTTATCAATTTAATAAAAACTCTTCTGGAAAAAAAAAGCACTGCCACAATAATATACATACAAGTTGATCAAGATGCATTCTGATTTCAAAAAATGTTAATATGAAACTATATCTTAGAATCAAGGAAATATTGTAACAGAACTATATTTTTTATGTGCTCATTTAGTGCTCTATAGTTCTCAAATGCATCAAACACTTGATGTTTTTCTCCAATTAATCCAGAAGCTATATCCAAAGATTAGGCTGCTTGTTAATGACCTTTGAACTGAAAGGAACTTAGACACCAGAACCTATCCTTTCTTTTTACAGTGGGAAGACTGGGGCTTTAAGATATTATGTCATTTGTCCAAGGTCATCTAGCTATTCAGTGGCAAAAGTGAAATTAAGAATCCAGGTCTTCAAATTAGTGTCTTAAATTTAGTAATCTGCAGCTATACAGATTGAAATAATTACCTTAATTATCTCAACTGATTAGGATCTCAACACAGAAAGCGTTGGCACCAGTCTAGAAAGCAGGACTTCCTGAGGCAATACGGGACTTTAAGGACATTAAGGGCTCTCACCACGCTACTAAAATTCAGAGAGATGGAGCTGGACCAAGATCTTCCCATCAAAGTTCAAAGCCAGAAGTGAATCACAAGGGCACAATCACACGAATCTGCGCTGTGGAACATTTTACAAGCCATCTGGCTGGATTCCTCAAAAAGTCAACGTGTGAAAGAGTGAAAAAAGTGGGGGGAATGTTCTAGATTAAAGAGACTGTTTTATTAGATTCAAGACCCTTACCCCCACCCCCAGCTGTAAAGGATATTTTCGGGACAATTGAGAGAAATGTGAATATAAAATGAAATGTTAAATCCTTTGGAAGTGAAGATATTGTGATTATATAAGTATTTAGGGGCAAAATGACATTACATATAATGTCATAAAATGTGTGTGGGATAAAATAAATATTCATTATAAATATAATTTTAATATTAGCCTGAGCAAAACAATTGGGAAGTCTGTTCCCAGGACTTCTATAACGTATCCTAAAAGCCAAAGAGAAAAGCCTTTCTGATTATTCGCAGTTTTTTATTATCTTTACCATTATTCTCCTCATTAATGCAGGAACTGAGTACTGATTATAATGAAGGAGCCTGAGGCACTACTATAAATGGCTATTCTTATTAATTACACACTAGCTTCAGATTACCTTATCAATTTTTATTCTTATCAAGAGCACTTTTTTTAGCCACCTAGCTTCTTAAAATGGTCTTGTAGAATGTTTAAGACATTCTGGGTGAACAAAAACTTTAAATTATTAAAAATTTTCCAATCTCCTCTGTTGGGGGTAAATATTAAGCAAGTGATTTTTCAACAATATTATAATTTATACAGAAAATACTTTTATTTCACAATGACATACTTTCTGCTGTTTACTCAGAAGAGTGAAATGTTTTAAAAACTATTTCATTTATTCAACAAATACTGACTACTTATATTGTATCACAGACTAACGCCATCAGGATTTGTGATGAAAGGATATGTGGAGCTTAAATTTAGTGGAAAACAGGCCCTTCCAAAGATAATTCCAATATAACATATAAGTGCAATAATGATGCAACGGGAAAGTTCAGAGAAGAACCACAGAAGGCTTTACTGAGCTACTAACACTTCGGGTGTGTCTTGAATGTACAGATATTTTCTATGAGAGGGAAACAAAGGCGAGGCTGTAGGCAGAGGAAAGAGCATGTGACTGGACAGGCCTAAGATGTCTGAGAAACCAAACAGCTCAATGCCGGGGTTTTTTTTTTAATTAATTTATTTTTTTTTTTAAAGATTTTGTTTTTTTTCCTTTTCCTCCCCAAAGCCCCCCGGTACATAGTTGTATAGTCTTCGTTGTGGGTCCTTCTAGTTGTGGCATGTGGGACGCCGCCTCAGCGTGGTTTGATGAGCAGTGCCATGTCCGCGCCCAGGATTCGAACCAACGAAACACTGAGCCACCTGCAGTGGAGCGCGCGAACTTAACCACTCGGCCTCGGGGCCAGCCCCTCAATGCCGGTTTTAATCAATCTGCAGTGCAAGATGCTAGATGTAGGGGGTTGGAAGAAACCTCTATCCAAGGTTATCTTTTACTCCTACTCTCAAAAATCATGAAATTGCATTTACATGCATAGGCCATCCCTCGAAGATAGCACCCGCCTCAATACTGTAAGAATCTATGCTACTCAGTATACCAGGGAGTACAGGGGCATCGGGTCTCTTATATGAAATGAGGATGATGACAAGAGATGGAACTTTTGGTTTTTTAACATCCTTACTTACTTTCCCTACCAAACACCGTCAACCCTGAAGGTTCTCCATAAACAGTTTCTTAAACTTGACTGGTCTGTGCAATACGAAAGGTGGAAAGTAGGCGGGGAGTGTGACCACTAATCTAGGACATCTCAAACTTCACATATCCCAATTCAATCCCACCTTAAGCCCTCTAAGCAGTCACCGATCTCCAATTACTGCATTACGTTATACATCATTCTTTTCTGCCGAGCATGTTCTTCCACCTTACTGACTGGATAAAAACTCATTATCTTGAGGAGGCCTTTCCTGACCAACCTCAACACTCTTGCATTCACAGTCTTTGCATCTGTTATCCAGGTGCTGTGTAAGTGTGCTCAAGGAAGGTGTGTGCGTTCTGTCCCAGTGAAGAGACTGTGAACAGGGTTACTGATTGAACCCCTTCACCTTGAGACTAGAATCTGCAGGAAGAATGAATTGTCCCCAAGATATTATCTTGTCACCTGTACTTAAGTACCCATTAATAAAATCAACAACCTGACAATGAGATGGTGGGGAAAAAACAAACTCAGCAATATAGAGAGTGTATTCTCTATAATACAGCAATAGACAGCAGCAACTTTGAGCACTTTGGTTCTCAAAGTGTGATCTAGGGGCCCCTGAGGTTCCCAAGACCCCATTTTTTTTTTTTTGAGGGAGATTAGCCCTGAGCTAACTACTGCCAATCCTCCTCTTTTTGCTGAGGAAGACTGGCCCTGAGCTAACATCCATGCCCATCTTCCTCTACTTTATCCATGGGACGCCTACCACAGCATGGCTTTTGCCAAGCGGTGCCATGTCTGCACCCGGGATCAGCACCAGCGAACCCCGAGCTGCCAAGAAGCGGAACGTGCGCACTTAACCACTGCGCCACCAGGCTGGCCCCCCAACACCCTTTTGACGGTCTGCTAGGGCAAACTATTTTCATAATACTAAGATGTTATTTGCCATTTTCACTCGTCTCACAACATCCAGTGGAGTTTTCCAGAGGCAACACGACATATGGTGATATTGTTCTGACGGCTCGTGAAATACGTACTATGTATTCTTGTGTTTTCGAGAATTTTCTAAGGTAAGCTCTTAGAGTCCTCAATAACTTTTAAGAGTGTAAAGCTGCCCTAGGACAAAAAAATTTGAGAACCACTGGTACAGAGCAAGAGATATGAGGAAGACAGATTTCCTATTAAAAAAGAAAGGAATGGTTTCTCATTTTCCTTCATATTTCCTACCAATCAACCCTCTCTATAACTGAAACTTTCTAACACATCTGAAGAAAAGCTGTGAAAGGAACTATAAATGGGTAACAGATTTAACTAGGTAGAGTGCTCTAGAGAAAGATCTTGAGATGAAAGCATGTATTCACTTATTTTGTTACTGACTGGAAAATTTCATTCCAAATAAGCAAGACTTCTGAATTTAACCTTCAGTCAAATTTATGTCCTGAACCACTAATAGGATTCCATTAAATTTAAAGGAGTTCCACTCGAATCCCACAGGAAAAAATCTGATAGGACCTCTCTAAAGCATCTTTTGTTTATGGTGAGGAAGATTGTCCCTGAGCTAACATCTGTCCCAATCTTCCTCCACTTTGCATGTGGGACACTGCCACAGCATGGCTTGATGAGCCCTGTGTAGGTCTGTGCCCAGGATCCAACCCTGTGAACCCAAGGCCACCAGAGTGAAGAGTGCAAACTCAACCACTACACCACCGGGCTGGCCCCTAAAACATCTTTTAAAAAGCCTTCCATACTCGTTTTTCAGTGAGTGAACATTGTACTCATGAGTCAGTTATACCTTCAAAGCTTGCTTTGATCTGCTCCCTAACTAGGGGTAGGACCTCCCTTCTTAACCTTTGCCACTTGTTTCAGAAACCATCATACTTGTCAAGGGGGCTTAGGCAAACAGTCTAATGCTACATCAGCACAAACTGCCTGATTCACCAGAAAAACAACTCAAAGTACATGTTTTGTCATTTCAAAAGTTGTGTTCAGCTAAATAATTTTAAGTACATTGGAGTTAAATATTTAAAGAACTATTTCTGTGTAACCAGGATCTCCAGGCTCTGGGTACGTTTTTGGAGCAATAGACAATGGCAGAAAAAAAGTTAATAAGGCATTTGGATAGTCCCTTGGAAATAACTGGACTGAAGAGTCAAATTTCAATTATTTATGGTGGCAGGAAGCAAAGGCTATCATCAACTAAACTGCACAAATAATTGAAAAATGTCATTTTAGCAATTTCAACTTGGAGCAAATCTTTTAAAGAAAATACATAGTAACAAGTACATGGATTGTGGACCTGTCCTCTAATTTAGGTGCTAACAATAATTATGATTGAGGTGCTAATAAGGCAAGTAAATTGGGAAGGAAGAAAAAACCAGACATCTGAAAATATATCAGCTCACTCATCAGCCACCACAAAGTCAACATTTAGCTTTATGGAAACTAATTCTGTTCTCAATTAATATCATACTCTTCCAAACACATCCAGCCTTAATTCCACTCCAAAAAATACTTACAATAAAAGGGACTATGTCATTTCTACACCAGATAGCAGCATACATACTAAAGTTCCTTGATTTTTTTGGCAAACAATTCTTTAAGTATCAATGGCCACTTATATAGAAGAGGCATATAAAGCACCTGCCAGGAACTGCCACTCGACTGCCAAATTCATAAACAGATCATAATTAAGTTAATGCTGACATCTAGTGGCAAGAAGGAACACCTTCCTCTTCCAATATCACCTGAATTCTAACTTACGATACCAAACCAACGACTCTAAAACCAAAGACATCTCCAAATCCCCACAAAGATATCCATTTAATCTAAAAATTATCCATTAACCTTAAGTAAAGAGAAGAATCAGAGAATAGTGACTGAAGGAGAGGAAAAAAACTGTCTGCGCCATAGCAAACTGGCTATAGAATCTTGGAGAAGGGGGTTGGTGTGGTGGTAAGGGACTCTTTATGAAAAGTCTTTGTTTGGAACTCCAAATTTGTATCCTTAAAAGCCTAGAATAGATAAATGCTTAAAAATTAAGAATATTTCACTTGAATGAGATGTCATTTATTGAACTATGGGATGTGTTTTAACCCTGTCCCCTAGGATAGGCTAGTTCCCCCCGTTTAAAAATGTTCTTAATTTTTAAAAAAGTAAAACGACTAATGAATGAACAAAAAACCCACAGTTTTCCTCAACACTTATAAAAGACAACTGTGGACATTCCAAGCTTTACAAAGCCATTGTCTGGCTGAAAGGCTCAATTCAATCAAACGTTATGCCCAACTTGCAGACATCACGAATGTATAGCACAAATCTTGATCAAACACCATCCTGTATAGAAGCGTGAAGAAATATTTAAGATCCTACGTGAAATTCTAGGGTGACATGATTTGGAAATTCAGGGCCCATCCATTTAGAAACATCACTTTTCAAATGAAGCATTTCCATCCCCGCAGACCGGCAGGGTTGAACTGCTGTGTTGACTGGGAAAAAAAAAACCTGTCATCGGTTTGAATTAATATTCACAAGCTTTCTTTAAAAAATAAGTGTGAGCTCCTTTCCAAAATGCAATTATGATCAGTTTTAAACTGGAGGGGCAAACCTAAAATATGGTATATTGATGAACAAGAAATGCTCTCCACAGCACATTCAGAAATATGTCTTTGTCCTCTTACAAACAATTCTGACCACAGATTCAGCTTCTACACAGAGTCGGTTTGCAATCACTTCAAAATGTCCACCTCCTTCAATTTCCTCACCACTTACAAATTCACTGAAAGGAAGCAAAACACCTGCGCGAACTAAGACATCAAACCTGCCGGCAAACCTCTGGGGTGAAGCAAAACCCCAATGACGTTTTTTTTTTTTTTAAATAAATCACTGACTCAACTACTGATTTTAAGCTCTAAAACCTCTCCTGGAGCTGGCAGGTGGGCGTAAACCATTAGAGTAGTTTGAAAATGAATTGCAAGAAAGAAAACAACCGCGTCAAGGAGCCACGGTGTCAAGGGGCACCTTCCCTCTGGGTGCGAAGGGTCAGGGGCGAGGCGAAGCCGGAAAGGTAATTTCTCAGGGCCCCACTTCATGGGTCCACTCCTGGGGCGCCGGGGTCGGGGCTACGCAGACGTGCTCCAATTCCTCAGAACCCCTACCGGGTTTGGGGGTAACTGACCAGCCTTACTTTGTCCTCTCCAACAAGGAAACTTGGCTGGTTGGGGGGACAATACGTTATCCTGGCAGACAACCCAAAGCTGGCCGGGACCGTTTCGCCTGCTTCGGAGTTTTCGCCCCCAGCCCGGCCGGGGCTGCAAGGTGACAGATCCAAAGGCGGTGGCCAGCCCCCTCCGGTCCCCGCTCCGGCCGGGCGCAGGTGGGAAGCCCAACTCCCGCGACCTTCCCGCCCACGGCCCCGCTTCCGGGCCGGGGACACGGAGCCCCCCAAGGCCGAGTGGCCTCGGGCAGTCGCCCCCAGCCCCGACTGGAAGGGCGGGAGGGGGACAAGCCCCGCGGACTGGCGCCGAGAGAGACTTCGGGGCGGGAGGGACGTGCTCCGGCGCCGGCGGGCGCTCGCGGGGGTCTCCCTCCCCGGGGAACGCGCCCCCTCTCCGTCCCTCCCCAGACCTCGGCCCGGCGGAGAGGGCGGCGGGGGTTCCGCGGGGGCCTCACCAGGCGGAGCTGGCTAATTTCGTCGTAGGACATAAAGCTGAGGATGTTCTCGATGGCTACGATGGGCAGCGCCACCAGCGTGTTGTTTTGAGGCAGCTGGTCCGGAGCCAGCGCCGGGGCTGGGGGCGCCTGGGACCCCGGCTGCGGGGGCTGCGGCGGGGGCGGGGGAGGCAGGCGCTGAGCAGAGCCGACGGCCGAGGAGGAGCCGCCCTCGCCGTGGCCGCCGCCTCCTTCCTCAGCCATCCGCTCCTCCGACGCCGCCGCCATCTTGGGGGTTTGATTCCTTCCCCCACTGCAAGGGGAACAGGGACACTTCCGGTGCGTCACTTCCTCCTCTTGAGCCGCCGGGGGCGGCGGGGGCACCTGGAGGAGGGGGCGGAGCCAATGGGGTGACAGGCGGAGACAGAGGAACACATTGCTGTTTGTTCAAGTGGAAATGAGGGACGATCATGTACACTCCTGGAAAGGGGATCTCTGTAGGCCGTTTATCTAAGATTGGAAACGACTTGAGGGCGGGGGAACCATGTCTATTAAAATTCACCTGTGTAGTTTTCTTGAAGAGCTTCCTGATAAAATATGATAAATGGTAAAATAAGTGATAAAAATAATGTTGCCTAATAAGTGTAGATAGAACGATGTAATTCGAATATCATCGTTTTCAATAATCATAGTAATACTTGATTTAGGCAAATAAAAAAGAATGAAGTATTGATTAAAACTACCTTCTGGATGCACCTGGAAGACGTTATCTTGAATGAAAGAAACCAGACACAAAGGACCACATACTGTAGGATTCCATTTAAGTGAAATGTGTGAAATAGCCAAATCCACAGAAACAGAAAGTAAATTAATGGTTTCCAGGGGCTGGAGGGAGCGGAGGAAAGGGGAATAATGCTAAGGGGTGCAGGGGTTTCTTTTTGGGGTGATGAAATGTTTTGGAATTAGATAATGGTGATGGTTGCACAACCTTGTGAAAATACTAAAAACCACAGAATTGTACGCTTTACAATAGTGAATTTTATAATATGTGAATTATATCTCAATACAAAATTAATTTAGTCAAGAATCATCAAAAGATGCTAAAACTAGAAAATAAAGGTGTGATATGGAACATAATATTCACATAGCCTCAAAATGACTCCCCACAATTACATATTAATTACAAAGATAAAAAAGTTTACAATAGAGAAATTTGGTGCGCATCCCCGTAATCAAATAATCAAAGGTAACATCACGGGTTATGGGGAAAATGAACATCATGTGCCTCCTGATAAAATCTCTGGAAAAAGACATAACATAATGTAGTATTCCTGCAAAAGGAAATGCATAACCTGTATTTGAGGCCAACAAATCTAGATAACTGCCCCATACTCTTCAAAAATGTTAATATCATAGAAGACAAAGACTAAGGATTTGTGCCAGATTCAAAGAGTAAATTAAAGACTAAAGAAGGGGCTGGCCCCATGGCCAAGTGGTTAAGTTAGCGGTTAAGTTCAAGTGCTCTGCTTTGGTGGCCCAGGGTTTCGCCAGTTCGGATCCTGGGCGTGGACATGGCACCGCTCATCAAACCATGCTGAGGCAGCATCCCACATGCCACAACTAGAAGGACTTACAACTAGAATGTACAACTGTGTACTGGGAGGCTTTGGGGAGAAGAAGAAGAAGAAACAAAAGATTGGCAACAGATGTTAGCTCAGGTTCCAGTCAAAAAGAAAAATAGAGAAGACTAAAGAAGACATCTAAATGCATGGGTGATCCTGGATTAGGAAAAATAGCGATAAAGAACATTAATGTGACAATTGGCAAAATTTGAATATGGACTGTATAACATTGCAATCATATTAAATTTCCAGATTTGCATAATTTTACTGTGGTCTTAGAACAATCTTGTTCTTAGGAAATACACATTGCAGAATTTAGGGGTCAGGGGGTATGATGTCTCACTTTGCTCTCAAATGATTCAACAGATAGAGAATGAGATTAATAAAGCAAATATGATAAATGTTAACAATTGGTGAATCTGGATGAAGAGAATACTAGAGTCCCTTATACTATCTTGCAATTATTTCAAAATAAAAGTTTTTAAAGGTTACTTAATATTTCCATATTTTTGTATCCTTGTATAATATTCTGTGACAAAGATAAAAGGTGCACAAATCACTAAATTTTGAAGCTTTTGTTCTTTAGTTCTGGGTCTTAATCTTAAAGTTTCCAATATATCCTTTCTTTTGTGTCTTTGTTCTAATCTAATTGTTGCACGGTAGTATGGAAACTGCAGAGAAAGCGCTAAGCATGACTAAGGCTAGAAGAAAGGGGGACAGCTAAAGCAAGGAGATTAACTGGAAGTGGTGGTGGTGCCTGGCTTGTCAGAATTGGCATCCTTTCCCAAATCAGGGCATGTAAGCCGTTGGTCATTTTACCCACCATTGTTGCAGACTGTTTAGCATTCAATAGATGCTTTATGCCTAAATGTGTCTGACACATTTGCATATTTATAAGTTAGTTTTATTTTCATTAACAGATTGTAATTTCACTTCTACATTGGGTATTGATGTCTTTTCATAGAACCTATTACCATTTCGTCTGAAGTGAATCCATTTTCTACCTTGTTTTATTAAAGTTCGATACTTTTTTGGTAGGTTGGGTTGAAATAGAATTTCTGTAAATGGAATCATGCTTTAAATACATTATGGGAGCTCATTATAAAGGAAACCCATAGAAAATCCTTTAAAAAAGGAATCGTCACTCCCTAACTTAGTTTGTCTATTCTATAAATCCACTAGTTCCATGCAATTTTGTTTTGCTTGAAATGGCATATGAAAGCCTTCCTACTTCCTTCTCTCTCCACATGTGGTCAACTAGTTGACATCCAGGGTAGGCTGACCACTGATCTAAACAACAGAATACAACTTTGGAAACAATTTAGGCCACTTCCTGCCAGTAAGCCCATTCAAATTGTCCTTTGTTTATGTATATTGGATCTGTGCCACTCTATTCCTTACACATTTTTTTTTAATAGGGAAAACTTCAAAACAAATGGTTGCTTTGTTTCAATTACTGAAACCAATGCTCGTTTTGGAGGTGCTTTCCAATCAAAACAAAAACTTGAAACTAAAACAAATATTTGAACTTTTAGGAGGAGTTCTGGGTTCTAAATGTGATTTTATGCCAGCAAAGTACCATAGGACCTCAGCAAGATAGCAAGATAGTGATCTCAAGTACAGGATGGGCATATGCATCTGAAGATCTATGTGTTTCTAGTTTCATATTTATAAGAGGGAATAATATTACTTTCCTTCTTTTATCTCACAAAGTTAATATGTGGATGAGCTGAGATAGCAAATGGAAGGAGTGTTGAATTCCTCAGATTAAAGATGTTCAAGTCAATTTACTGTAATGCAGACACTGTGTGTTATCCTGGTCTGCCTCATCAATCTGCCTTCCTAGTCAGGGTGTGTGTTGGGGGGGGGGGCGATTAACGAAAGTAACCTTAAATAAATCCGAGTTGAGAAGGCCTGCAGAGGGAGCACTCATGCCCTGGCACACCCTGTCAGTTACCTTACACAGGAAGAAAGGGAGGCCTGCATCTTCTACAGGAGGTAAAACCACTAACTACAGAAGGAAGATTTCTCTCCCCACCTGGCAACAGCCCAGCCAATGAGAAGCCATTACCACCCTGAACTGTTACTTCCCCCCATTGGCCTTTCCCTTAGAACAGCCGCTCCTTACTCCCCCTTTTTCTCTGTAAAGGTGCTCCTCCCCTTTGTTTTATGGCTTTGCCTATGGTTTGCTGTAGTGTGCACATCTCAAAATTGTGTTTCCTTTGGCTATTCCCAAATAAAGCCATTCTGAGGGTAATGTAACTGGTAAATCTGCCTTTAAAGGTGTCAGGGGATAGGGTCTGGTTGGGTGCAGTGAGGTATGGTGGGAGGTGATCTCAGCCATTTAATGGCACCGCCACAGGAAGATGGGTTTTATATATGGAAACAGGAAACTAAAACAAGACATTGTCTTTCCTATCTGTTAGCAGATTTGTAACAGATATAGAAAGAAGGATGAGGCTCATAGACTAAATAAAAAGAGATTTGAGACTTTCTATGGATTATAATTATTCTTTTTTCTTTTAAATTGTGGTAAAGAACATGAAATTTACCATCTTAACCATTTCTAAGAGTGCACACGGTTCAGTAGTGTTACATATATTTACATTGTTGTCCAACCAGTCTCCAGAACTCTTTCATCTTGCAAAACTGAAACTCTGTACCCATTAAACAACTCCCCATTCCCCACTTGCCCCAGCCCTTGGCAAGCACCACTCTACTTTCTGTTTCTGTGAATTTTGCTACTCTAGATACCTCATATAAATGGAATCATAGCAGTATTTGTCTTTTCATGACTGGTTTATTTCACTTAGCAAAATGTCCTCAAGGTTCATCCATGTTGTAGCATGTGTCAGAATTTCCTTCCTTTCTAAGGCTGCATAATATTCTATTATGTGTATATATACCACATTTTGTTTATTCATTCATCCATCAGTGGACACTTGGGTTGCTTCCACCTGTTGCCTATTATAAATAATGCTGCTTTAAACATGGGTATGCAAATATTTCTTCAAGATCCTGCTTTCAGTTCTTTTGGATATATTCCTGAGGTGGGATTGCTGAATTATATGGTAATTCTATTTTTAATTTTTTGAGGAACCGCCATACTGTTTTTTATAGCAGCTACACTATTTTACGTTCAGAAGAAAAGGGCACAAGTGTTCCAATTTCTCCACAGTTTTGCCAACCCTTGTAATTTTCTGTTTTTTGGATAGTAGCTATCCTAATGGGTAGGAAGTGATATCTCCTTGTGGTTTTAATTTGCATTTCCATAGTTATTAGTGATGCTGAGTATCTTTTCATATGCTTGTGTTGGCCATTTGTATATCATCTCTGGAGAAATGTCTATTCAAGCCGTTTGCCTAGTTTTTAATTGGGTTATTTGTTTTTTGTTGTTGTTATTGAATTGTAGGAGCTCTTTATATATTCTGGAAATTAACCTCTTATCATATAGATGATTTGTAAATAGTTTCTCCCATGCTGTAGGTTGCCTTTTCCCTCTGTTGACTGTATCCATAGATGCACAGAAGTTTTTAAGTTTGATGTGGTCCCCCTTATCTATTTTTGCTTTTGTCATCTTTGCTCTTAGGTATATCCAAGAAGTCACTGCCAAATCCAATGTCATGAAGTTTTCCTCCTCTGTTTTTTTCTAGGAGAGTTATAGTT